AATGGCCGGAGCTGAGGGCTGGAGCCAAGCACATCGGGGAGTCTGAGGGGCAGAAGGCACGCCCTTGTCAGGCCAGAAGATCAGGAGAGCGCAGGCTGAAGCTTGGGGTGCTAGAAACACCAGCTCAGCCTCTGACAGCCTGAGGGAGGTTCTGTCCCCTGGGCCTCCATATCCCTGGGAGACATGCCTGCACATTTAAAGAAAAGGTTTTTCTACCCGAAAGCTGGTCTCCCAGTAGGGACAGCAGTGACACAGCAGAGGAAGGCAGAAGTTGCTGTCACCCGGCTCTGCTGCCGCTGGCAGCTTCTCCTGGTGTCCTGGATCCCACCCAATGGCGGTGGCCTTTGGGGCCCTGGGCAGACAAGGCTGGGGCGGTAACCATGCCAAGGCCCCAGGCAGACAGGGCCAGGCAGCCCCAGCCTCCGGAAGTTGGTGGGATTCCCAAGGCTGCCATCACTGCGTTGTCACTGCACAAGGAACATTCCAGAAGCAACTGGCCCGCTGTGTGGTGTATACAACGATCGGTGAGAGTCCCAGTAGTGCAGGAACCCTGACTCATGCTCACTTCTGCCCATGGGTGCTTCCAGCCATCCACCGTCCCTGTGCTAGGCTGGGTCAGTGCTGGTGGACAGCATACTGCAGCCAGGGGCCCAGTCCACAGCTGCCCTCTCAAGGGACAGCCAGCGAGGGATGTCTAGCCCTTGACAAGCCTCAGGGCTCAGGGTCACTGCCCACATCAGGCACGGCTTGATGCTATGAGGACAGAATGGAAACCAGTTGTGGCAACGGAGAGGAGGGAGACGTGCCAAGCGGTCCATGTCTTCCCTTGAACACGGGGAGTGGGCACGTGGCCGGGGTGGAAGCTGTCCTGAAGGGCAGTGTGGTGAGACAGCATCCTGGCTCCGCTCAGACCTCATCCACTCCCTTGAGTCCTGGGACCTGACGATGTGGATCTACCTGCGTATGGGCCCCAGGCAGCCCTCTGTTGTGGGAGGGTCCTGTCTGTGTGGAGAACAGAGGCAAAACCACCTGTGTGGACCCAGGACTACCCAGGGTTGGAGGACAAGAGCAAGAGGAGACTGCAGGACAGAGCAGGCCCTGAGTGAACCCAAGGCGGGCAGTGTGCCTCAAGAGGGCCCAGGCTGGGAGCAGTGTGTAGGGCAGTGCCCAGCACCTCCTTACCTTCGCCTTCTTCCTCCGCCCGCCCAGCACACAGCCCTGCGGCCAGCTCTGGTTGCGGGCCAATCTCAAAGTCCCCAATTGTGGTGGTGACATAATTTCAGGTCAACTTGATAGCTAGAATGTAGCGGTGGAGTCTAGCCTATCAATCGGGTCACAAGGTCACACCCACCAGGCAGATTCTGGGAATTTTTTATTCTCCTGGGAGGAAGACCACACTCTCTCTGCTTCACCTTCCTGTTGACCAGCCACAGAGAGCCACGCTGATGGCACCCTGAGCCCTGGATATGCTTCCACCACAGGACTTTACTGGACCCACAGGACTTTCCACCCACCCGCCTGTGATCTTCCTGCATCCGGCACCATTGCATGTGCTGCGTGAGTCTGAAGAGGAGTTCATGGGTTAATATGGGACTTATGGGCTATTATTGGACTTAGCACTTGATCTGGACTGGGCTAGGTTGTTTTCTTAATATATTACTCTGATATGAGGCTCTTTCTTATACATATGAGTCTCCCTGAATTAGTTTCTCTAGTCTACCCAGACTAACACACCAGTGCACCCCCAGCAAGGGTCAACACTTCCTGTGCGCCCCCGACCAATCCCCTGACTTGCTGGGGAGCCTGGGCACAGGGATTAGAGCACTCCAGGTAGCCTGTCTGGGCAAGGTGGATGGCTAGCCCTCTGTGGCCCTCCCCTTTTTTTTTTTTTTTTAATTTCAATCCATACACACATCAACCGTGCAAAGCGCATTTGTACATCGTTTCTCAAAACATTCTCTCTCCAGTGTGGCCCTCCCCTTTGTCAGTTGTTAGAATAAGTGCCACTGACCCATCACAACTGATTCAGTGGCCTCAGCTGCTCCTCCCCTCCCACCCGCCCAGGGTTCCCTGTGGATGAACTGCAGTAATGGCTTCTCCCACCCTGTTACCACCCTCCTCCTCAGCCCACCACTCAGTGGCTGGGGCCAAGTGGCCTGCCTTGGTGTGGGTGTGTGCAGGGATGCAGGGGTGTGTGGTGGGGTGTGGGGATGTCTGGGTGCCACCAGCAAGGTGACCCCGGAAGATGGCCTGGGGCTGGAGGAGCCACCTCGGGCGGGGTCTGAGGTGTAGGCCAGGGCAGGTGATAGTGGGGCTTAGAAGGCCAGAAGACAGAGGTGGGGCTCGGGGAAAACCAGGCCTGCCCACTGCTGGAGCCCAAGCTGGTGGGAGGGGCTTGAGCCATGGTGATGCTCCCCAGGATCCTGGCCCTGGCACGCAGCACAGCCAGAGGGCAGGGAAGGGGCCCTGCTCAAGACCAGAGGAAACCTGGGGAGTGGGAGATCGGACCACCACTCCAGGCCCACTGGGAGAGGGAGCCCTGTCTCTTTTCCCTGGATGCCCACGCCCACCCTTGGTCTTCCCTGGCTTGGTAACAAGGGTGTTAAATAGCCTGAGGGCTGTGTCCTGCAGATGCCCGGGAAACAGGGCTGGAAAAGGGCTAATGAGCTTCCTGGAACTGGGACCTGCCTGCTGTGGGCCTAGCTCCGCCAAGGGCTGGGACAGACCACCCCCGCCTCCTGGTGCTGGGAAGCTTCGACCTGGCGTTCCAGGCCGCCTTCCACACAGGAGCTGCACGGGCTATTCACTGGGAGCAGCAGGGCAGGAGGGTGGTAACAGGGTGGGAGAAGCCATTACTGCTCCCAGTTGGTCCTAATAGGCACATGGTGACGTCATGCACAATGCACACCCTTGGAACCCACCTCTTCAGTGAACTGTGGCCCCTGGGTCGCTGCCCCTGCCCAGCAGTCAATGGCCAAACATAGGCTTCCTGATGCTTGGCTCTTTGAAGGGAGCCAGGTGTCCCTACATGTGGGGTACTTGCTTGCTAGGTGACCACCTGAATCTACTTTTTGAGTGGAAGTGAGAGAAATGCAGCAATAAAGAGACGGGTTGAGTTTGGCCACCGACACCTGTGGACTTGGTTTACAGGTAAAAGATGAGAGCGGGTTGACTGGTCTAAAGTTCATGACCTAGCACAAGGGGGCTAGGCTTGTGGAGTATTGGTGAGAGCCCATGGTCTAAGGCAAGGCGCCCAATGGGCACCCTGTGGAGGCTGAGTGAGGCAGCCCACATTGAGTTGACCAGAACCCGACCAACTGGTGATTTTTGAGCCTGTGAACTGGTGCATATTGTTGCTGACTATATGGATGGCCTGTCCGGATTTGACTTTGCTTACGGATGCAGACTTCACAAGGTTCCAACTGGAATGAAGACTCTTCATGTTGCAAAAAATGATAGTCTCCTCAGAGCACTGGGTTGATGTAAGTGGGCAGTATATAAATTGGATAGCCAAAACCGGGGGGTGGGGGGAGTGGGGGGGTGCATGAAGTGGTTGGCTTACAAACTTTCATAGGTGGGGGAACATATTCCCAGGATTATAGGATTAAGGCATAGGTATTCCTTAATTGCAACTGTGAGGCTAAAGAATGATGTACAGGTGCCAAGGGGTGGATTTAGTTTATTGTGCCAACCTGGCCGATAAACACATGGGGTTAATTAAAGGGCGGAGGGATAAATGGCTCAGTGAGCCTCGCGTTTCAAGTTCTCGGGTCTCTTGCTTTCTGTTGGTCGGACCAGGGTGCAGCTGCCTCAGCCAGTTCCTGCTTCAGCTGGAAAGGCTCACTTCCTGCAAGACATCCCTTAGGAGAAGCCACATGGACCTACCCCGATGCACCCCCAGGTGATGGAGCAGCCGTGTGGAGACCCCTGCCAGAGCTGAGATGCTTACATGCTGACTCGGCTTTCCTCCTGCAGTTGGCATTGTAAGTGTCTGTGTTTTGTGAGATGGAGAACTTTGTGGATTGGTGTTGGACATATGGGTTAATGTTGGACTTGTGGGCTTGGGCAGCACTGGGTTGGGGTGTTTTCTTGATGTGCACTTACCCTTTATATAAAACTCTCTTATACGTTATGAGTTTCTGTGGATTTGTTTCTTTAAAGTACAGACTAAGGCATTGGGAGAGGCCCAGCCTATGGGGCCCTCAAAGCAGAAGCCCCCCTGCCGTCCTTTAGAAGTGCCTGCATACCTTCCTGGCAGGCCATCCACACACCAGAACCATCAGGTCTCCTGGAGTCTGTTCTGGCTGAGGGGGAGTGGGGGTGGGGTGGGAGATGGGTAGGGAAGGGGAGGCTGCAGATTCCTGCCCGCTGTGACCAGTTCATGTAAGGACAGTCCCTGGAACCCAGCCCACTGCTCATGGTCAGTGTTCTATGGCTAGCACACTTACACAGATGATTCTTGGTGACTAGCTGTCATGTGGAAACCCTCTGCCAAGAGCTAGTTATGGACCTCTTGGGGGGCCCTGTCCCGATCCCACGGGCCCAAGTCCTGAGATGCCTGGCGCACCTGCCAAGGCAGGGCCACACTGATTTAGCAGCCCACTTGTCTACCTACGGGGGCACCGCTCTAGAGCGTGGGGGGCACCCAGTGGTCAAAAAACAACCCCAACTCTACTGACCCAGATGAAAACCTACAAGAAGTGGGGCAGGCCGTCATGCCTGGTGTGATCTGCCCTCTATTTGGGGCCCTGGAACAGGACTCGGAGAGCAGGAGGGCAGAGGTGGGGGAGCAGGTGGTGAGCCCCACAGCCTGGGTACTCGGCTCCCTCCACACTCTCAGCAAGGGGTCACCACGTAGCTCCTGTGGCCCTCGGGGACAGGGGAGGGGGCATGAGGAGCATCAGTGGGCAGGGCATGCTTAGCCAAGCACCCGGCAGCTGGGACAAGACCTAGCAGGGACGGATGTGCCCGGAGAGCAGTGGAGGCACGGGCTTGGGGTGTGCAGTTCAGCCCAAAGCACTTTATTCCATGTTTCTCACACTCACCATGCTCCTCCCTAACGCCTAGCAAAAGAAAATCGTCCCCAGCTACAGGAAAGACACCAAGCACAGGAGGCCCCTGGCGCACTGCACCAGCAGGGCTCTGAGCCATCAGGACTGGAAGGCGAGAATGCCGTCCACAGAGAGCTGGCGGGGGAGTCGCTGCCCGATGACCTCCAGGGGATTGGCTCGGTAGGCGGGGCTGGACAGCAGGGCCTTGAACCGGGCGCTTTCTTCCATGCTGCAAGGGAAGACCTAAAGGTTAGGACGGGGACAGCGCTGAGGACACCCAGCCGGACAGGGAGCCTGAACCCTAGTGGCATGCCGTCCTGGGACAGGGAGGCCGGGGCGCCCCAGGGTGCTCCTTCCACACTGGGGTCGTGGGTGGGTGGGGACAGCCGAGGCAGCACATACTCACAGGAACTGAATCCTCTGGTTGCCGCTCATCTGCCTGAGCTCCGTGGGCCTGGGCTTGCGGCTCGGCCTGCCGTGCACAGGGAGAAGCCCGGTTAGTCACACCCAAAGATGCCCTCGTGGTCAGCAGTCCGACGTAGAGCCAAGAGCGCCGCCAGGTTCGCCCGAGCTGCACGCCGGGGCTGCACAAACTGGGGCCTGACCAACCACACCGAGCGACTTTCACACGGGTGCTTGAACCTGAGGGGCCGGGTGGTCACTGGGTTAGCCCCAGGGCTGACGGCACCTAGGCTGCCTCCCAGGGCATGCCACTCGCTAGGGGTGAAGCAGACAGCAACGCACACACCAAACCTCCCATCACACTGCACTTATCCTGAGGATCTATGTGGTCCCCAGGAAATCAGGTGTTCTTCCTGAGACAAGGGCCAGGCCAAGGTCAAACAGGTCAAGACCGGGGCCTGTAGCAGATAGCAGCAGAGCCCCAGAGGGGGTGCAACAGGCTTCCTTCCAGAGACAACGATGGACCGAGAGGGTGGGAAGGGTCGGACAATCTACTCCGAGCTCCTTAGCTAAATTTAGACTCCAGACCTAGTGTTTTATTCATGTTAATTTTTGAAATATGAATGTAAGACATGTCATGTGCACCAAAAATGATCTCAGTCCCACTCTTCTTTAGCCCTTGCTGAGTCTCTTATGGTGGGGGGGGTGGAACTCGGCCTCCCATTCACCCCAAGTTCTCATGCATGACCCTTTGCTCCTCAGTTCTTGAGGAGTCAGAAAGCTCGGGCCAATGTCCACAGCCCACATCCTGGGTGGTCAGACACGGGCCTCGTGAAGGCGTCCCGTGCAAGGGCTCTTCTAGTGCCCATCTCCTCTGAGCCACGGTGGCCTGGGCTCAGCCACAGGCCAGAGCAGAGGGCGAGGATGCCACAGCCAGGCGGCTCGGCCTGGGCCTCTCAGACTGCATGCGGGGCTCCCCTCCAGGAAGTTTTAAGCAAGTTGAAAGCCCGTATCAGGGATCTAGGTTTGTCGCCCCGGCGGGTAAGCTTTGCCTTCTGCCATGGTGATGGTCAGGGGCCAGGTGAGGTACTGAGGTTGACCACTGGATGGGGTGACCAGTGAAGGGGAAGGTAAGAGCCCTGATCCTGCTCCCCAGCAAAGGCTCTTGAAGGTGCCGTAACTCTGGAAATGAATGGGAAAGGCACTGAGCTCTGGGGTGATGCTGCGTCTCACAGGGCACAGTTGGTACCCGACCACACCCACTAGGGTGGAATACTCTACCCACGGAAGGTGCTGGGAACAGGCAAAGGGAGGTGGGCAGAGCGACCCACATGCTGCTGACAAAGCTCAGGGTTAGCTCCACAGAGATGGTTCTACACAGAAGTAACCAACAGCAGGGGGGCCTAAAAGCACAGAGTATTCCAGTGAGCACAGCAAGCACCCCAATCTGTTTCTGAAATGTGTCCTCAATACAGGGAGCCCGCTTTCCTGGAGACGTGGCAGTGTTAGAGCTGGGGTGGGAAATGTGCCCCATCTGCCTGGAGTATCTTGTACCGTCAGAAGGGGGTGCTCAGTCCACATCCCGCCCGCACGCAGTGGTGGGGCTCCAGCTAGAAGCACCTGAGAGGCACGGGCGCTCAGGTCCATTCTCATGTAAATGACTGAGTGGCTAGTGGGAGGGGAGGCAAACACCCTGTAGGGAATCCCACATCCAAGAAGCAAGACCTCAGGGATACTGTTTGGGGTTGGGGCCCAGACTATCATAGAGCAAGCACTGTAACAGAGTGGTATGGGTTTTTGGTTTCCCAATGCAATGTAAACTTTGTCTGCATTGCTCCATACCAGGCTGCTTGCACAGCCTGCAAGCTATAAAAGTGACAGTGTGTGCAAGGCGCACAGTATGCCGGCACCTTCTGTACTAGCTCCCCACTCCGTAAGCATGGGGTGTATACAGAGGAACTCCTCTCAGAGCCAGGGTGGGAGAGGAAGAGGACCCCACAGGTGAGGAGGACAAGCATGACCTTAAGCCAGGGCCGATGTCCCCAAATCTCTCCTTATGGCAAATCATCACCCAGATGCCAATTGAGAGGCACTCAACTAAACAGCTAACTAGCACTCCTCAAAATGGCCAAGGTCATCAAGAACAGCGTGGGCGCATGGCTGTCAGAGCCAAGCACAGCCTAGGGAGACGGGTGCTCAGGGCCAGGACCTCTGGAAGGCAGAGACTGATGGCCAGCAGGGGCTCGGGCTACCACCACCTACACGCACTGTGCATGCGCGCCGGTTCCAGGCTGTTAGACACCATGCTCAGAAGACCCAAGACTTTCTTCATTCTGAGACGAGGCTATTTCTGTACTGTCTCTGTAATGGTCCTGTAAACCTGAAACTGCCGTGGGGAGTTTAGAGGGGTAGGAGTTCATTTGTTGAAATGGGCTGTGTCAAAATTGCTCCCTTAAAAATCAAATTATTAAAACGGGGTGGGGAGGGAGAGAAAGAGAAGGTTCACAGCCTTAAAAAACATCCCTCCAGTTTCCTTACCCGTCAGACCTAATTACTGGTCTGAGTGGCTAAAAAACAAGGGAGGCAACATACAAACGAGGCTGACTTTAGGGCCAAACAAGTTCGTTTCAAACATACGAAGAAATGAATTAAAGGAAACTATTGTGATATGTTTATTCACCACGCCCCCGGGTTCCAGGAGGAGACCGCGTGGGGCTGGGCATTGAGAGGCTGAGGCCGGGTTAGGCTGCCTCTCCCGACCTGAGGGAGCACAGCCTCATGGCTGCCACGGTCCCACAGCGTTCCTGCCCCGGCCAGCAGACCAAGGTTTCTGCAGCTCTCGGGACATTCTGCGGATGAGGAAACTGAGAAACCACACAGGTGCGCTTTGACCTGGGCAGCATTTTGTGTGAGGACCCAGAATGGAATTTGCATCTCAGGCTTGAGGTCAGCCGTCAATCTCAACCAACCCCCACCCCCACCCCCACCCCCAGTCTGCTCACCGCTGTGGGTGGTTTCCCCCTGGACAGTCTCGTCTGTGATGGGGTGGACAGGGAGCCGCCTGGGCTGACAAGGGTCAGTGCTATCAGCTACAGAAATTATTTCTCAAAACACCAAAGAAGTGACAGCAATAAATACTGATGGCCAGAATCTACGGTAATCACAACAGAGCACCCTCAGTCTGCCCAGCTTGCTCCTGGAAAGCTGAGGTGTGGGCCCACACCTGGCTGGGGCCCCTCCTTCCTTCATGAAGACAACAACCCAAACAGGTGGCACATAGGTCCTCGGCAGCTGTTTTTTTTTTTTTGGGGGGGGGGGGCAGGGGGAGTTACCGCTAGAAGGCAGCAGGTCACTGTGCCTATGAATTCAGAGGACAATGATGTCAGTGTGGTGACCAGAGGGGAGGCCTGTCCACAGGCATCCATGTGCAGGTCATCACGCCCAGATCCTACACTCAAGGTCACAAAAGCTCAGGACAGAACAATCTGTGGACACACACAGAACAATCTGTGGACACACACACACACACACACACAGAACAATCTGTGGACACACACACACACACACACACACCCCACCCACCCGGCCTGCCACGGGGTCTCAGTGCACCCGAGAAAGGCCCAGGTCAACCTTGGCTGTCTCACTCATACAGGGGTGGGCCCCTCTCCAACTAGCTCTCAGGAAAGGGCAATGGGAACGGGCAATGGGAACATGCCGGCGTGTTTGAGTACCCCAAAACTCTGGCAGCTAGGATTCTGGTGACAAGGAGCTATCAACTTTGGTTCCAAGACATTTCAGAAATGTGCCAGGCACAAACTCGCCAGAGCACCAAGTGTGCCTCTGAAGGGAGGCCTGAGCAAAGCCCACGCGAGCTCTTGGGACGGGTGCTTGTCACCTCCCCACTGCAAAGTCCCTCTGCTTCAATCTGCACACGCTCAGACTGGCTTCCGTGGCCCTGTGGGTGTGGACAAGCGTCCACCTTAGGCACACAGGCCACGTGGGTCCGGGAAGTGAGGCCCACCTCAGGGAGGCGGTATAGCTGAGGAGCCCCCAGTGGGAAGGTGTGTGCAAGAGCCATCAAGGCCCATGGAGGTCTCAGCCTGAGAGAGGAGGGCACAGCCAGTGGGTGCTCACAGTAGAGCACCAGGCCCAATAGGCAGAGCAGCCTTGGTGGCCACGGCTGTGCGGGGGGCTAGAGAGGGCTAGGGTGGCCATGCACAGCTGGAAGGAAGAGGGGTGTGAGAGTCCACCTTGGCCACTCTGTTAGGTCCAATCAGAAGCAAAACCACGGACGCATGTGTGCTGTACAGAGAAAGCTTTATAACAAAAATGGCTCACACAGTTTGAGAAATCGCCAAGTCCTGTCCAGTTCAAGCCAGGCTTCTCCTGGCTCGGGGAAGTCGGTGAACAGAAAGCAGGCTGGTGGATGCAGAGGTCCGAAGTAGATTGAATAAATCCATTGTCTGGAGCCTGCTGAGGGGGCCTTAAATTGGCAGGTGACTTCATAGATCAAGGAACCAGGTGCGAGATCCAGCTCCAGCAGAGGACCAAAGAGAATTCACCCTGCTTCCCCTCTTATACCACAAGGCTCTTGATACCAACAGGGTGTCATCAGGCTGAGACACAATTGACAGCTTGAGCTCCGCCCATACCCTTACCGGAGTGTCTAGTTGTCATCATCCTTAGCCAGCATAGACCACCCCTTGGCAACAGGACATCTGTGCATTACTCATTAACCATCACAATCGCCAAAGACAATAAATTAAATCAGAGGTGCTCCTAATGTGCTACAACTAACACGCACACAACCGCACAGATGCGCTAACCCCGTTTTCATCTGACCGCCTCCCTTTGGAACGAGGGTCTCCAGACCTGAAGAGGAGAAGGTGGCAGGGACAGGAAAACAGTCTGCTTGGATTCACTGTCGGTCTCTGCTGCTGGCAGGCCGGGCACTCAGCAGTGGCAATAGTCAAGGCAGCCTTGGTGGGCGGAAGTCCACGTTGCCGAGCCCACGCACCGTGTCCACTTTGTTCAGGCCCCTACCGGGCAAGGACAGGAGTGGCTGTGCAAAGAGGACTGGTTTCCATGAAACGCATCGTCCCATCCACATGGCTGTCAAAATCCTCCCCTGCAGAGGTGATCCTTTGGGGCACATAGCCTTCACTTTCTTTGGCCCATTCAAAGAGATCTATCCACATGCTTCTTCCCCACACCTCCTCGTCACCAAATTTCCTTCCAAGTCCCTGACCATCCAGCGAAACCATGGGCCAGAGCCCACAAATCGCTACAATCACACATTTGGCCAGTCTGCCTTCCAGGGAAATCCAACTTGGTGCACTGCTAGAAGTTCTGCCCATTGGGAGCATCTGCCTTCGCCATGGTTCCTCAGGGGGCCCCAGAAAAAGGCTCCAGTGCTGCTGGTGGGCACTTCCGAGTGGTACTTGCATGGAGTGCAGAGCCATCGGTACACCAAGCACCAGGAACTCCTCCCTTCCCGTCATGGAAGCCACAGGTGCAGGCTGGGAGAAGGAGGTACTGTAACCAGAGTGGAGTGGGGACTGTAGGCATTTGGGCCACTTCTTCATTCGGCCTGCCTGTACCTTCAGGCCCTGCTCTAGCCCAAGCTCATGCATATCACGGCTTCCACTGAGAGGAAATACTGCTGTGGCCAAGTCGGATGAGCCGCAGGGTCAGACAATACCCAGTCGTGATGGGCACGGTGACTTGGTGGTCCATGTAAGGTGTTCAGTCTCCACTAAGGCCAGACGCTGGTTTTCAAAGGTGGAGGAGTGGTCTGCAGGATGATTCGCCTGCACTGATTCGCCAGGAGGCCCAGTTGGAACAGCTGGATCCTAAGGCCCACATGGCAGAGGGGCTTGCACAGCAGCCTCGGGCAGCTTGTTGACGCGTTTGCTATGCAGGCTGGAGGAGCACTCTGCCGAGTCTCTCCCTTATACCACAGGCTTACGGAACCACGGGGGTGTCATCAGGCTTCAGACACTGATCGGTTGGGCTGTGTGACTTCCCCTATCCAGGAGGCTAGTTGACCTAAGCCCTAACATCTCGGCCACTTCACCAACCTGAATACACGCCTGCTTGCCACGGGTGGGCCAGCCACTCCCGGCATCTCCTGCTTGCCTGGCCCAGAGGGAGGGTGGGCGGGGCTCAGGCGAAAAGATCGAGAGTCTGATGAGATCCGAAACTGCAGGGACCCTTCCCACCTCTCCCTCTTCCACCATTCTTTTTCCTCTGGACCCAGTTCAGCCGGTGCTTGGTCTGTGGGGAAGGAGTCGGTCTTGGACCACACAACTCGGCCTGCTTTCTGACCAAGGTACCATACTTGCCTCTTGGGCTGCCTCTGGCCACTGGGGCGCTCTAGCTCCGCCAGAGTGGGCAGGGCCTCCAGCAGTGGGCGCAGATCTCCCACCACTTCGGTGGCCCTCCGTCGCTGTTCCTCTGAGCGCTTCTTCTCGGCCTGCTTGATAGCCTCAATCTCTGGGATGAAGAGGAGAGAGCATGAAGTTAGAGGGGAGCAGAAACCACATGCCCCCCCCCCCCCCACCATGAGCTCACATCAAAAAGCAGATGGAGTGCCACCAAGTCTCAGCAGATGGTGCAGGGGACAAACCTATTTTAAAAGTGCCGGACAGCTGGGTGTGCAAGGGTGACTAGGGCCAGCAAGAGTGCCCCCCCCCCACCCCAGCCCCAACACTGGCCGGCCCGCTTCCTCTGGGGCAGACTGCCATCACGAGCCTGCTGGAAGCGGGCGCCACACTCCCCTTCCTGCTGTCACCTACCTCCCCGCCCTAGAAACCTGGGAGGCGGCGGCTCGAGTTATTTTTTCCCTTAATCACAGAGCTCGGCACGCGTTTTAATTACAGGCTTGGTCATGAGACCAGCATTATAAGCACTGAGGGTTTTTTCTTTTGCAGAGGAGGCTGGCGTGGTGGCCTGGGCACGTGGGGAGGCAGAGGGAGGCACAAGGACAAAGCACAGACCGGAGTGACTTGACTTGCCAGCAAGGCAGTCGCCCAGGCTTCCCCGGCCCGAGACTAGGGAAGAGGATGCCAGCAGGAAGGAGTCTTCCCACCGGGGGCTGATGCCAGGGGAAGGGGTGGGACCTGAAGGCAAAGCGCGGACCACGGACATGGGCTGCCAGGCTGTGGAGACTGGTGTCTAGCTGAACAGACTGGGGGGTGGCCAGGCATGCTTGACTTCAGCATGGCCCTGAGAAGGGAACTGAGTCTGAGAACTGATAGAGCCCTGAGACTTAAGCTGTATTTATACATATACTTAGCTTCCAAACTTTGAAATACTTGCAGGTTTTAGACCAGCCCTCCCACATACACCCCTGCCCCCAGGGCAAGAGGCAATGCCTGAGGGAGGCAGAGGGACACCTCGCCCCATGGCTGCCCACGCACAAGGACCCCGCTGCTCATCAGGTGGCAGCAGAGACAACAGTAAGGCCGCTGTCCCAGAGGCTAGAAGTGCCAGGGGACAACACGAGACCCGCACAGGCAGAATCCGGCACAGCCCTGGCACTGGTCACATATATCCTGGACCCAGCGCGTAGCACACTATCATGGCCCGTGAGACAGTGTCGGGCAGGCATTTTCAAGAGAGTACCTTCTGAAAGCAAACAATCTATTGACTAGGGAGGTGGCACTCCACAGGTTTCTCGAAGTCTTGTGGCCCTATCCAGGGGCTCTGGCCACAACTCCCTCTGCCCTGCTTGGCCCTGTGTCTCTCCAGGCAACCTGTCTTTGAGGGAGTAGGCGGGACTAACCCAGAGCACAGCGCCCAAAGTCAAAGCTGAGCGAGTGCTTGCCCCCAAAGAGTAGTAGTACACGGAAACGTTAGGGCACAATCCGAAGGCAGAAGGGAGGCTTAGGAGCAAGAGCAGACAGGATCCACAGCACAGCGGGGACTCCCTGATGGGCCTCCCAGGGGAGCTACTGCTGGCTACTACTGCAGACAGGCGATGACCCGGCCTGGCTGACTGCTAGTTTAAACAGGTTGGTTATACAGTATGAACATATTAAATTCCACAGTGCAGGGCACTAGATACAAGATTTTATATCTATATATAAAACCAAAAGCAATTTTATATAGACAATGTAAGCCACAAAGCCCGGCTCACAGAAACTAAGCAAAATGGAAGTAAATGGAGATGCTCTTTGTCCATGGATCTGAAGATATCAGGCTAAGATTCCCAATCATAATCTCGCTCAGTGTGGGGCGGTTGTTTTAAACAAACTGACAAGCTGATGGCAAAGTTTATGTGGAAGCTTAAGGGCCTAAAATAATCAAAGCAATCTTAAAAAGGAGGGCAAATCAAAGTATTTCAACAAAACAATGTGAAGAAACCTTCTGAACAAGTGGAGCCCTGGTGATGTAGTGGTTTACACATTGGGCTGTGACCTACATGGTCATCAGTTCAAAACCACCAGACGGGGCTTTCTACTCCAAGCAGTTACAGTCTCGGACTCCCACTGGGGGGGTTGCTGGAAGTCAGAATTGAGTGAACGCAGAGAGTCTGGTTGTTGCTGAGTTTTTTTGTTTTTGTTTTTTTTTTAACATTTTATTAGGGGCTCATACAACTGTTATCCCAATCCATACACACATCAATTGTGTAAAGCTCATTTGTACATTCATTGCCCTCATCATTCTCAAAACATTTCCTCTCCACTTAAACATTAGGTCACCATTTTTCCCCTCCCTCCCGTTGCTGAGTTTTATGAAACAAAAATATCCAAATGCGAAGCCATTGTTTGATGACACGTTCTCCATCTAGGCACATGGACGCGGTCGAAGTGGTGCGTCCCGCTCTCTAGCCAGTCCCTGACATGCAGACCCACAGCCTTGCTTGCTGAGAGCGAGGAAGCCCTGGAACACGTGCTGATGACTGCAGCCCTCCAGTGTGGATTGCAAAGCAAAGACATGCAAGAATCCTCACAAGTGGACCAACAGACATCGTGACGAGGTTTCATTTTACGAGGATCCAGAAGCAGAGTACGTACTGCATTGGGCGTTGGAAAGGAATACTGGAAATATCATACCGTGAGCTGCTACATCGGTCTGGGAAGTACGGCCAGAAGACTCCCGACAATGGAGGGTAGCAAGACTCCGCCTCACCTATTTGGGACACATTCTCAGGAGGGACCACTCCCTGGGGAAGGACACCATGCTTAATAAGATGGATATGGTGGCTACAGCAGTGGGCTCAAACAGAACCACTGTGCGGATGGAGCACGAGCCCAGTGTTTTGTTCTGTATTCACAGGCTAGCTTTGAGTTAGAGCCCACGTCATTCACGGCCCCTAAGAAACATGAAGTGGCAAGACCGGGGCTGTAGGATGGTGCCGGGCTAACATTGCCCCACAGACGGCTCGTAGAACAGCTCTTACCCTCCACGAAGGAGGAGCCAGTGTATAGTCAGGATTGAAAAAACTACTTAGCACAACTTTCCTGCTCTTTTTCTCAAAGTGGTTTTCCATTTCCTTAAAAACTGTTTTAATAAGCCCCCGTGAACATCCTGTGTCCAAGAAAAAATCTGTCAAGATTACCCCCCTTTTGGACTCTCCAATCTCGTAAAAGCTCTGAGCTGACTTCTTTGCCTTGAATTGAACTAACCCACCAGGCCACCGCCAGAGATGACTCTCTTCAGTGGACCCTCTTCTTCTAAGGCACTCAAACGAGACTAAGGCAAACCTATCACAGTGTCTACACACTGATCAGGGGCACATTTAAGCAAGCTTCTTTGGAACAAAAAACCCTGCATTCCTCAATGGGAATCCTAGTGGCAATCCTTTTTTTTTTTTTTTTTCAAACTTACCCTCATGGAACAAGGCTGGCAGGATAAACAGATGCATGGAACAGAAGAGAGTGCAGACAGACCCACACTCCTGGGGCCATTTTATATTTGACAAAGACACCAACACAATCCAACCAAAAGGGCAGTGTCTCTGAGAGATGGTGCTGGGCCTGAGGAGGCACCCTGGAAACGCAGGGCCTCCCCCAAGCCCCGTGGAGCTCAACCTTCCTCCTGCTGCGAACCCTCGAATACAGGTCCTCATGTTGTGGGGACCCCCAGCCACAAAATTATTTTCATTGCTACTTCACAACTGTGATTTTGCTACTGTTATGAATCAGGCGCCCCCCTGTGAAAGGGTCCCACAGGTTGAGAACCGCTGATCTAGTTGGTTCTCGCTCCTGGTGACCCTGTGTTACAGGGGAGATCTGCTTGCAACATTAATGGAAACGGATGGCCAGGGCTTCTCTTCTGTGGGAGCGCTCGATAGGTGGCTACATGCAAAACTGTTTACATCACGCAGGGAGGTCGTACCATCTCACTGCAGTCAAGTCCATTCTGAGCCACAGGACCCTTGGGGTTTCCAAGGCAGGCTTGCAAACCTTTATGGCAGGAGGAAGTCCCATCTACTTTCCAAGGAGCAACTGATGGAGTCCAAATGCCGGCCTTGCGTTAGCAGCTGATAACCGCTAAGCTCCCGCCATCAACAGCACTAAGTCAAGAAGGACTAAGGCCTGGATGTAAAAACGAACACTGCCCTGAACTACAAGAGAACCTGGCTGCTGCTCGAGGATCACAACAGGAGGTCGTAAAGGGAGTGGGAGAAAACTGCTTGACAGAACTCAAAACCCTAAAAGAAATGGAGCTTACTAGTGAAATAGATTGCTGGGACCCCCCAAGACTATGGCCCCTCACCCTTCGTGTTTAGAACAGAATTCAAGGCCAGTTAGAATAATCACAGCTGATGAAGGGAGACAGCAGTCGGTGTAAGACATGGAAAAAATAATTTATGAATTACCAAGAGTTCATGAGGGAGGGCGGGAGGGTGGACAAATGAGGAGCTGACACCAAGGGCTCAAGTAGAAAGAAAATGTTTTGAAAATGATGATGGCAACAAATGTACAAATGTGCCTGACACAACGGATGTATGTATGGGTTGTGTTAAGAGCTGTAAGAGCCCCCAATAGGATGATTTTTAAAAAAGAAAAAAAATGCATCTGCACAATCCAAAAAAAAAAAAGGAATATCCACGGCTATTTAAGACCCCAGGGCAGAAGGAAAGCAGAGGAGGAATGGAAGCGGGTACCACGGGAAGCAGGGAGCGCGATGGCACACTGCGATGGGCGAGCTGAAACACAATGCATACAGATTGTGGAAGGTGAAACTGATTTCTTCAGCAAGCCTTTACCTAATTCACAATAAAAGTCTAGTCTTTTTTTCTTTAAGCTACTCAGTTTGTGATTCACCTAAAGCAGAGTTTCCCAAAGTGGGTAATATTGCAGGGTGCTGGCATGACGCAAGGAGCTGCCAACGCACATACCATACTCCATCCAGGATGACGGGCTACAGGACTGAACGCTCTCGTTGCCAGGGCGGCACGGAGTAGTTTCTGAAAAGGGGGTGGTAGAACCTAGGACCTAAAGGACTGATGGATGTGCAGATGACAAGAAGTGCCCTAAGCAGCC